TTTCGGAGTTCAGGGGAGAATTTTGGGGTTCAGGGGAGGAATTTTGGGGTCCCAGGTGCGAATTTCGGAGTTCAGGGGAGAATTTTGGGGTTCAGGGGAGAATTTGGGGGTTCAAGGTGAGAATTTTGGGGTTCAGGGTGAGAATTTTGGGGTTTCAGGGGAGAATTTTGGGGTCCCAGGTGCGAATTTGGGGGTCCCAGGTGCGAATTTCGGAGTTCAGGGGAGAATTTTGGGGTTCAAGGTGAGAAGTTCGGGGTTCAGGGTGAGGATTTTCGGGGTTCAGGGGAGGAATTTTGGGGTCCCAGTTCCGAATTTCAGAGTTCAGGGGACAATTTTGGGGTTCAGGGTGAGAATTTTCGGGATTCAGGTGAGAATTTTGGGGTTCAGGGGAGGAATTTTGGGGTCCCAGGTGCGAATTTGGGGGTTCAAGGTGAGAATTTTGGGGATTCAGGGGAGAATTTTGGGGTCCAGGGGAGCAATTTTGGGGTCCCAGGTGCGAATTTCGGAGTTCAGGTGAGAATTTTGGGGTTCAAGGTGAGAAATTCGGGGTTCAGGGGAGAATTTTGGGGATTCAGGGTGAGAATTTTGGGGTCCCAGGTGTGAATTTTGGGGTTCAGGTGAGAATTTTGGGGTTCAGGGTGAGAATTTTGGGGATTCAGGTGAGAATTTGGGGGTTCAGGGGGAGAATTTGGGGGTCCCAGGTGCGAATTTTGGGGTTCAGGTGAGAATTTTGGGGTTCAGGTGAGGATTTTCGGGATTCAGGTGAGAATTTTGGGGTTCAGGGGGAGAATTTGGGGGTCCCAGGTGTGAATTTCGGGATTCAGGTGAGAATTTTGGGGTCCCAGGTGAAAATTTTGGGGTCCCCCCACTGACCAGGGATAGACGGAAAGATCCGGCAGCGGCACCTGGGGGGAGGAAGAACCCAAAATTAAAGGGGGGGGTGGGGGGGGAAATTCAAGAGAAACCCCCCCCAAACACCCCAGAGCCCCCTCCCCAAATTCGGGGACCCCTCCCGAACATCTCGGGGGGTTTTTTTTTGGGGTGGGGGGTCCCCCAAACTCACGGACACGAAGGGTCTGACGGCGCTGCTGGGGAACCAGCCCAGATCCCCGCTGGCCACGTTCCGGCCCTGGGGGGCGAAATTTGGGGGGTCCAGGGGGGG